CTTTAACATCTGCTGATGGTTAAAAGTAAATCAACAATTGCCAGTAAAAACATTACCTCCACCTGCTATGTTTACATGATGCACATGTAAACTTAGCATCAGGTTCCGATTACAAACCATTTCTTAGTAGTTCCCCTAAGAGACTTGATACACAGCTCATTCACATAGGTTGCTAACATGATCCCTGTTCATTGAGAGCAACAGCTCTGGTCATCTAGAATTCTTTCAAAGCAGTACTCATTGGGTTGAAGCGTGGAAATGGAAGTATCCCTCAAGTAACAGCGGCTGATGCAGTGATGCTGGTATGGTGCTGTAATTACTGTGATCGTTTGGTTATCATGCAAACATTAAAATGTAGCTGGAGACCCCAGTCAGTCAATATACATTCAGTCAGTGTGACGGGAGCAATGTGATATTAAAGCCCCGGAAAACTTGGTGTCATCAGATTTAATAAGTCACATGCCATAATCTACTGTACTTGAAAACAAAAGCCAAGAGTTGTGTCTCAGAGTTACTTTGGAATTATCCTCCAAACTCCTAATGAATATTGATTAATCAAAACTGAACCATTGATGGTTAGGAAAAATAAATGCAAACACAAGAAAAAGGTGTGTGGGGCTTGTAAATCTTTTGACGCTGTTGTTGTCATTTGGCGTTGTTAAGCACATTAATCAAGTGTTTTCTTGAGAGCATTGCGGCAATTAATTAGAAGTCACTGGCACAGTAAGGCAGTTTGTCAAGTCACTGAACAAGAAAAACATTTGCTGTATTTCATGTTGTAATTAATTTGTTTCTAACTTGGAGAAGTGTAGTAACTCAACAATCCTCACTGCTCGCAGGGGCAAACTAATATTTTCTGTGAACTTTGGTTTGTACATGATCCTCAATTAATCTGACATTTATACAGAGCTTTATTGACTCTCTCTAAACAAATGCTGATCAAGCCTCCGCATCCGTTCGTCCTCATTTTCAGTCTTTGGCTCAGAGTGGTGCACATGTGCTGCATTGCATTTACCGTGACTCCTGCCGTCAGGTGTGACTCAAATGTGAATGTGCCGAGGTGCACGCACCAGAGTGCACCGGTTTGCGAGAAGTGGTGTCTGAAAGTTTAGTGTGCAGTGGTCTGCTCCTGGTCTCCTAGTAGGTTGTGTGAAGCACATCAAATGCTCCCCCAAGAACAGTTATGACCAGGTCTCTCTGCTACATGTGCCACTAGTCTCCTTGTCCTGCCGTGGTGTCTCTCTCACCCTTGATTGCTTCTTTTACTCTCTCCTCTTTCTCTTCCCAAGCTTTTATTGAAGATTTTTTCCTCTGTCTTGTAAGAGTTGTGGTGGGATGCCAGTTATCCTGCTCTCTGACAGAAAAACAGCCCAGGATTCAGGGCACCATGCATTCATGTAGGATGAGGCCCACATCCAGTGGTGGAAGAAGTACTCAGATCCCTTCATTAAGTAAAAGTAGCAATACAACAGAGTACAAATACTCTGTACTCTACAAGTAAAAGGCCTGCATTCAAAATATTACTTAAATAAAAGTACAAAAGTATTAGCTTCAAAACATACCTAACCAGACATTTTTGTGTTAATATGTAACATTTTTGCTTTAATTTGATCCCCTAGCACTCTGCATCGATGAATACCTAATAGAAATACCAGTGATACTTGTCAAGCAGCAGTTTTAAAAGAATGACAAGCAAAAGCAGCTTCTCTTTTCTAGCAGCTTGCATTTGATAATGAACACACGACACACATGACAATAAAAAGTAAAAATCCTATGTATGGCTGATAATATTAATGTTTCAAACTTGGTTTTGTTACTAAGCTTTTCAAACACATAACACACATCATCACAAAACTGGGCTATCAAGAAAACAGCTCAATAGTAACACACAAAAGGGTGCAGCATCTACACAGTGAAACAAAAATGATAGCGAGTCCATATGATCACATTTCAGGCTTGTTTTAAAACAAGAATATTCTAAAGGAGGTCTTATGCACTCGATGATTACATACATGATGTCAGACTAAAGATTGAGAATAGCATGTCTCAGGCAACAAGTCAGCAGCTGATGAGCCAAGACATGAAAAAAAAAGATACGATAAATACAATATAGTGCAATAACACTTTATTAGCAGATAAAATCTGAAATTTGTCTTGCATCTCAAGGCAGCTCCAATGCAAAAATAAGCACTGTATTGCAATACAGAGTTAGTTTGTCCTACTATTATACAGCAAGTAGCTACAGTATAAGAAATTTATACTCCTTGACATTTGCACCTTACATAGCAGGAAAACACACTGTTTAATCCCTCCTTCATACTTTTCCTGCTGTTTTTGGTTTCAGACCAACAAAAAACCCTGCAGAATCCGAGTGCCTCAGAACAAACATGTATGGGCTCACTGCCTCAGTGAAAGACATGTTTTGTTTGCAGACCAAAGCTGCCAGTCTCTCACTGCATGTAAGACTTGACTGTAACACCCCTGCCATGAAGGTGACAAAGAGACAAAAAACAGAGACATCAGACCTCCTACTGTACCTCCCGTCTACTCAGCTCTATCCTTCCAGACGCTATTGTTCTGCTGTCATCAACGACTCAACTTTTGTAATCATCCCTGCATCCTATCTCCTCTCTTCCTCTTTCTCTCTCTCCTCCTCTGCCTCCCCGAGTGTCCAAGACATATGACCGGATGTCAAATGAAACAACCACAAAGTCGATCATCGACCTTCTGCCTAGGGTGTCCTGGTGCCGTATGCACTGATGGACACCCTTATGCTCGAACATGGTGTTTGTTATGGACAAACTGTGACTAGCACAGAAGTCCAATAACAAAACACCACTTGGGTTCAGATCGGGGGG